TGTGTTGGCTTTTGGGGCAGCTGCTGCACACGGCTGGCTCCTATTTAAATGGTTGTCCACTAGGACTCCGAGATCCCCCTCACAGTGACTACTGTTGAGCAAGGTACCACCTATACTGTACCTGTGCATTTCGTTTTTGTTGCCTAAATGTAGAACCTGACTCTCTTCACCCTTGAATTCCATTTTGTTAGATAGTGCCCAATGTTGAAGTTTGTCCAGATCCTTCCTTCATAAGGAAGACCTTCTCCCAGTTAGTGGGGGAGGCTGCATCCCATGGAGCCCCCACCTGCCCCCACTGAGAGGATAGACTGTAGACGCCTTTTCAAGGCCTGCCTCATTGTTTGGGGCTCAGACGGGCAAAGGAAGGAAGGTGGGTGATGCTGTACCCTCCTCCGGCCTTTTCTCACTGGGGTTTATGAGCAAACGGGGCAGGGAAGAGCATTCACCCATCACACCTGACTCCTGACTTCTGCCCCTCTCCCCATCAGGGTAAGGTCACATCGGAGACCCTGTCCAGTCAGGGGCTCTGGGAGACAAAGCCTGGCCACAGAATAAGCCACCCGTGGGCCAGCCAGTAGGGGGACCTTGGCATGCAGGGTCTCAGAGTCCAGCTGGCTACAGAAACCCTTAAAAAGTCTGCACAAGGCAAAGGCAATCCTATAACCGGAAGGAGCTAAAATGTTCCACAGAAACAGAACATCCCTGGAATCAGCGGGTTTCTTCGCAGCTACTGAGATGCAATAAATGGTTTTGCCCATTTCTGATTTCGCCAAGAATTACAACTGACGAGGCCTCTGAAAATGCAATTCCTCGTTTGGAAACTGGCTGTTCCCCTTCCTGCTTTGGGAAGAGTTGCTGCTGGGGATTGGCAAGGGCTGGGGCGCTAATCCTGACCAAGGGATGAATTTACACCTCCCAGCAGCAGACTGCAGAATGGGTGGGCCGCCATGTTGGGAGGATCTGAACACAGAAAGGAAGGCGGCTTTTTCTCCCCCAGAGCTTCGATGCGGACAGGAACAGATGGGGAGGCTCACCCCCCCCCCCTTCTTCTTCTCTTGCTGTGCTGCCAGGGACAGGAGGTGCCTTCAGGATGACAGGCAAAGCCAGAAATTCTGCCCAGCTCCCTCCAGACAAGGGCAACTCTTCCAGGTGGATTTCAACCAAGAGGTCTTTTGCAGCCACTGCCCAGGTTTGGAGGGCCTTGAGGGCCTTCGGTGCCGAGCGAGTAGGGGGAAGGCGCAGCTGCCCCACCTGCTACCTGCTCTGAAGGCGACTGCTCGGAACAACTTGGGATGTGCTAGTTTCCCCCCAGTTTAATGAGGATCCATGTTTAATTTCCATGGCAAACAAAGCAAGGCACAGTGAGGTGGGGGGGGGGGTGGTGGTGGTGGTGGTGAGGGAAGATTTTCGGTGGAGACCCTTATGGCTGCCTGAACTGAATAAGAAGACAGAAAATGACAGGTGTTCCCATCACACTGAGTACCTGGACCATCTCCAGCCTGTGGCAGGAAACCAAGGTGTTCTTTGCTATTCCCTCTCCCGTCACAAAAGCCGTGGCACCCAGCTCCACCCAGCAAACTCCCACCCTGTCCTTGTAAGCCATTAATTGGGAAGTGGGGATTTTTAATAATGAAGAAACAAAAAAGATCTAATTTACTGACAGATATTCCTGAACTTCGGTGATTTCCTGGAACAAACAGTTGGCTTTTTTGTTCTACAGGAGCCCATTTCATACGGCACAAACTATTAAGCTTCGGTGCTTTGATGCACCAATATATTAAATATCCAAAAGGTTTTTCATGTACTAAGACATTCCATTTCTTTTCTTAATGCCACCTAACCTCTGTAGCATTTATTATTCACTTTCTGGAACTGCTTCAGTATAATACTTTGTAACAAAGAAGCAGTTAGGGTCCTTATTTTTTAATCATGGCTTCCCAAAAGGGATGAGGCAGTAGAAGATCCTCTTTCGGAATGAAGGTTGTTCGATTTGGTCTCTACAAAAACCAAGCCAGCCCCCAGACACCTTCCTCGCCTTCCTCCACCGGCCCTGAAAACGGCCATCGCTTCCTCTCACATGAAGTTATTAGTCTGGCTGTGGAAAATCAAAAGGGTCTCAGCTCAGCTGTGTCTTCTTTTCCCCCCTGCCTTTCGCACAGTCAAAATGCAAATGAAGGCAAATCAGACGCTGGCATGGATGGCAGCCACAAGGAAAAAGATCTGGGCAGCATTCTAGAAAAACAGGCGAGCCCTGGCTTTAATTAAAAAGTTTTGGGATGATTAATCACCCATTTTCAGATATCTGGGCATGTCCCTAGAAGGAATAAATAGGAATAAGTCAATGCTGTTTCTGTATCTTGCCTCCCATCAACGTCGTCTCCCACTGAACCAAAGGTAGAGACACTTGCTCAGCAGGAGAGAATAGCTGATGCCGGAACCTATAAAGCCGAAGGAGAGCCAGTCACTCCCGAAATGCCGCCGCCGCCGCGATGGGGCTGGAGGCTCCTGCACCAAGCAGATGGCAGAAGCTGCCGCTGCCCGTTCTTTTATGCAGCGCAGATCGATTACTCTACATCGGATTGTAATTTCATCCACGGCAACCTCCCATCGCCTTCTCATTTCAACAGCCTCATTAGTTTGGCCCCAGTTTTGACACACAAGATCACCGCTCCTGATGGGAAGCTGAAGCATCTGAAGGAATTGCATTTTCCACCTACCCCCTAAGGCTCCCCCCTCCCGTTCCATCCCGTCTCTACCAAACTGCCGGGTTCGATTTATGGAAGCGCTTCCAGATTTTAAAGGCCCGCAGGGTTTGGGAATGTGTGTTTCCTGGGTTTCAAAGATGGTTCTCCATCTACTTTGAGAACTGGAGACAAGAGAACAAAGCTCGAAAAGTAACGCGCTCCGCGTTAAGCCTTGGACATTCTCGCTTGGAGCAGAGGCAGAAACGCTGCGCTAGAGTCTCTCCGACATTCATGTAATTAAGGACGTTTCTGCAGCGACGGGCTGAGGGAGGTGGGTGGGATTCATTTTAATTTCCCATTGAATGATTTCAGGGCTCTAACCGCGCGGTTGCTGGCTGGGATTGGGAGGGCAGCTTCCTGCTCAGTCCCGGCAGAGGCCGGGAGGCAAATGGTCCCGCAGCAGTCCTTGCCTCTTCAGAAGGGGCTGCCTGCACCCACCGCGGGCGGCAGGACAAAGGGGCGGCAGCCAACCGAGGCCCAAGGGAGGCCGCCATCCCTTCGCCAGAGGGGCAAAGAGGGGACGCTATTAGCCGACCGCCAGAAGCAGCCTCGGGGGCAAGCCTGGGCACGCTGAGCCGCTGCCCCTATCGAGCTGGGCAGGGCAGAGGGATCGCAAGCTGCTCCGGTCTCCCCTGGAGGGAAGGACGGCCAGGACAGGGAAGCAGCTCCCGCAGAAACTCCTTAAGTTCCCGCCCCGACGGGACGCCCCGCCGCCGCCCGGTAGCCCCGCCGCCGCCTACCTGGGCTGGTCCAGGAGTTGAGCAGCAGGAGGCAAGAAGTGACCAGCCACATGCCATCCAGGGGGGCCGGTGCCGCGGGCGGGCGGGCGCCCTGCCTCTGCCCGTGTCCCCGGCCGGCCCTCGCCAGCTTCCCCCGTCGTCGGATGCTCCGCGCTCCGCACGGCCAGCCCGCCCGCCCGCCAGCCTAGCGCTACGCTCAGCCGCTCCGACTGTCAGCCGGCGAGCGAGCGAGCGAAGGAACGAAGGAACGCGCGGACGAGCTAGCGAGCGGGCGGGCGGGCGGCGAGGGAGGAGGAGCGGGCGGCCCTCCCAGATCCCCGCCCACCAGCCGGGAGGGGGAGAAGGGGCGCTTCGCGCCGGGCCCTGGGCAGGTGCCCCGCTAAGGCGGGCGGGCCGGCGCGGGCCGTATCTTCCACCTCGGCCCGCCTGCCCGGGATCCCGCCTCCCCTCAGCCCGGCCCGCCTCCCCGCTGAAGCCCCCGAGCTCTGTTTTGGGTCCCCCGTTTACCTCCGGCAGCTGGGAGCGGCCTCCTCTCCGTCGGCCTCGCCTTTCCGAGGAAGGCGGCGGGCTATTCTTGCTCCCGGCCGAACCTGGGCTGGGCTGGCGGTTCCGGCGCCGAGCAACTGGGTTCTCCTTCTTGCAACCAGTAAGGAGGGACTGCCGGCGTCTCCTCTCCGCGGCGGACAAAAGTTTTGCGGACCCGTCGGAGACTTGGCGGCTGGCCCTCAGGCGGTCAGGCACGGCCGTCTGGCGCCGTGGGGTCCCTTCGAAAGGCCCAAGCCAGGCCACCTCGGTGCAACTGGTTTGCCCTGCCCGGCAGATCGGAATCGACTCCCCGGCCAACCGTGCTCAGGTTCAGGTCCTCCGGAGGACCGCCGGCTTCCCGCTGGTCGCGTCACGGCTTCCTCCCCACTCCCGGAGCGTTGGCCGGAGCCGGTCGGCTGTTCAAGGGCCGCGTACCGCGCCTACGATACGTGGGGACCGTTCGGTTTACGGGGAAGCGGCCTCCGCCTGAGGAACCGGACCGGGAGCGCCCCTCCTGAGAAGAGCGGGCGGGACTGAGCCGCGGGGTCGCCCGTACGTGGGCAGAGGATCAAGGACCGGCCTTGCCGCCCCTCGGCCCACCCGCGCTACGCCTCCCCCCACCCATCCCTCCTCCGGTGACGGCCGCCGAGGCGCCAGGCCCTCACCCCGAGGCTTTGGGACCTCGACGGGCCCCGCTCCTCCTGCTCTCCAAGCGCACCGGCCCTGGCCTTGCGAGCTCGCCCCCGCTCCCGGCCAGTTCTGGGTGAGCTGGGCGAGCAGAGCGAACGAAACCTTGAACTCCTAACCCCGAGGAAACGTTCCGCAGGAAGCCAAGCTTCCCCTGGAGCTGCAGGGGTTTCTGGGAGACCTGGGGGTCTGCGTAGTCAGGAAACAAAGGGCCAGCCACCCACGGAGGGAAGCCCAGCTCAGCTGGGACTTCTTACCACTTGTGGACTTCAACTCCCAGAATTCCTGAGTCAGCATGCCAGAATTCTGGGAGCTGAAGACTGGAAGTCATAAAAGGGCCGCGGTTCCTGCCCTAAGTAACCCAAGGTCAGCAGCTATTCTGGAAAGGTCCTCCAAAGGGATCTCTCACCAGTGGGGATTTTTCAAAGTCTGAAGCCTTTTGGTCAAAATCTCCCCCAGAGATTAGAGGAGAATAATCAAGATGTAGTCCTCCCTGGCACATTTTGTTGATGGCATATCATCCTTCAGAGGTGGCCCAAAGGTGACTGTGCCTTGGCACTGCTAAGGGGACTTTGCTGAAGAAACGGACCTGGACTGGCACTGCCCGGTTGCTCAAGGTGGCTCCCTCTGAAGAAACTGTCCATTTACAACAGTTCATCGTAACTTCATTTTCATGGCACTGATTCAAATAATTTAACAATCTGTTCTCTGCCCTAATTATTTCCAGCAACAACCAGTTCACCAAACTGCTCAGAAGGTTAACAACCGGTTCTGCCGAAGTGGTGCGAACTGGCTGAATCCCACCACTGCCATGGTCACATGATCAAAATTCGGACTCATATTTGCAACAGTTGCCGTGTCCTGGATCATGTGATCATCTTTTGTGACCTTCTGACAAAGTCAATGGGGCCGCCAGATTAATGTAACCATTTTACTAATTTAACAACTGCAGTGATCCACTTAACCATGGCAAGAAAGGTCATAAAAATGGGGCAAAACTCATTGAATCACTCTCTCACTTGGCAAAAGAAATTTTGGGCTCAATTGTGATCGTAAACCAAGGCTTAAGTAGAGTCAAGCTGTGAGGAGGGAGGGTGCCATTCTCTTTCCAATGGGGCTGGGATTGGAGAGCTGACTGGAAGTGAGGTGAGCTCTTCCGGTCTGTGTGAGATGGTGTGGGAGGGCTGGGCGTGCATTAGGAACCAGATCTCAACCCTGCATAGCAAGACGGTGAAAGAAGGAGCACCCTTGGCAGGTATCATCGGTCCTGTGACCTTCTTGGGCTATCTAGAGTTTGAGGCACAGTTCGACACTAGTTTCAGCCCACAGAGGAGTGGATGGCTGGGAGGGACAATCCAGCTCAGCTTCCTGCTTTCCTCTGCTGCTTTGGGGTTAGGTATCATCAATATCCTCACACAGGCCCAACAATAGAAAAATTAAGGAAGTTGTAATTCAGGGTCAAAGCCCAGCACAATAAAACTACTATTTGTTCACAAGCATTCTGGTTCTAGACTAAGAATGACTTCAGCCGTAATTGTGGACACGATCACGCTCCTCTTTAAAGGAGCAGAGCTTCATTTTGCAGAGACCCCTAGGCCCAGGGCTGCCGCTGCTGATACAGAAGGTAAAGGCACAGCCAGGTGAGCTGGGTGTGCCAATTGCCCTAGTTAACAAAGATGCTCCGCCCACTGTGATTCACATACTGACCACCCTGCAGTTAGATTACTGTAAAACCCTGTGGAGCATGGGACTGCCTTTGAAGATCATTCGGGAGCTTCTTCGGCTGGGTTGGCTATTAGGCAGGATGGAACTGTGGTGCAAACTCTGCAGAACACCCGTCCTTTGGTTACAGACTTCCATTCAAAGTGATTCAGCTTTAATCTTGAACACGGTACCTGGCTTGGCTGCTGCATATTACCTTCACTTGTATCAGCTGGGACTGGAAATAATTAATCCAAATAGCCAGCCTCTCAGAGCTCTGATTGGTAATATTTATTGGGGGGGGGGGGACTCTGATTCCAAAATGTACTCTACTCTCAAATGAGGAACTTGTCTGTAGGCAATTTCAGTTGGCTTGACTCTGACTTTTTTCACAATTTTTGTATACAGTGGGGAAGAGCTTTGTCTCTCTTTGAACAAGACTCACTTGGGAACTGTTTTGTTCAGGAAAAACTGTCCTGTCTCACAACGTGCAAAAAGAGATGACAGGGATCCCATCTCTACGAGAACTGTAGGAGGGACATAGTGTTCCTCTGTGATGGACAACCCAGTGCTTTCCGACGCCTGCAAGGTTTGCCTGGGCTCTGCCCCTTCAGCCTACCACAAATTAGCAAAAGCTGTTACGTTTCTGCAGAGATTTAAAGTTCAATAGGATGGTGACTGTGTGGGAAACCATTTTTGCTTTCATTTCTGTTTTTGTCCAGTAGAACCCTGTTGTTCTAACGTGCAGTTTCTTATATTTATGTTATATTTTATGTAGTTCACCTGGAATCAAGATGGAACTGGACAGCACAAAAGTACTAGGAATAAATAAGTGAGCAAACAAACTAGCAATATCCAGGGACTGGAGCACGGACGACGGTGTTTTCAGAGCCCTTTTTCTTTCTTTGGGGTGTAACCTTTGACCATGGAGCAGTCTTTCCATGCCTGCCCCCAGCAGGGGGCTCTGCAGTCAGGACCTTTGAGAAGGCTCTAGTCGCTCCCCCCCCCCCCCGCGGCCATCTCTATGGTGGGGGAAGCATCTTTGTGCTTTACCTTCTTTAGGGGCTCATTTGCCTCACCCTCTTCCTCCGGGTTGCCCCCTTTCTGCATACAGGAAAAGGGACCTCGCTCCGTCCTTCCCCACTGTCAGATTAATCTTACTGGTCTTCTTGGAAACCTGCCTTCATTTCCCTAGAATTAGGTATCCAGATAGCGTTCAAATCCTCCCACTCCCTCCCCACCTTCCCTTTCCAGAGTAGACCCTTCCTTCTCTTCATCTTCATCTGTGTTGCCCTTTCCTGAAGCTCTGCCCTTCCTTTCTTCTGGGCTTCCTCTCACCCGTCTTCTGTGGCCTGGGAGGATGTGGGAAACAACACAGGAAATGCTCTTTTTCAGGACTACGATATATCGTAATAGGGGGGGGGGGAAACCTTTACTAAATTAAGTCCCATTTTGCTGTGATAAAATAAAACAAAAGGCAAGAAAATGCAGAAACGCAAACAACACAAAATCAAAATTAGGTCTAACCAAAAACACTTTAAAAAACATTAAAATCGTTTCATGCAGTTCAAATAAGCAGCTTCAAACTATGGGAGGCCCTTAATTTTTTTTGAAACTAAGTCAGAAGAAATCTTAGAAGCCTTTTGAAAGTAGGCGGGAGAATAGAAGGTTGTTTATTCTGCGTTGCTGCATACGCAGAGTGAAGTACAAAATCTGGGCCGGTGGGGTGGGGGGTGATCGGCTGCTCCCCTCAGCCATCCTGGCGGAGCTTGGATGGGAGCCGCTTGGAGCGGCCCCTTTGAGGGAGGAGCTCTGCCCTGGGGAAGCCTGCATGGTCCTCCGGGGAGAAGCCAGCCGTGGAATGAGCCCCATGACCTCAGTCGTTGACCTCAACCAGGTAGGCAGGTCTTTGACAGATCACGCTTGCCGTTTGCCCAGCTGGATGCCTGCTGTGTTCTCCCTTTGCCGTTGTGTGGTTGTCTTTACTGTCCTTAATAAACTCATCTTTGATTTACTATAATTGGACACAAACATTCTGTGGTTAACAGGAGGCCAGCAGAGATAAGCTAGTCAATTCTGGGCTAATGACTCCCTGGAGGCGGTGATCTTTTTTCTCCTCCTGATGTGTGAGGTTTCCAGGCAGGCCGTTGTCAGTGACCCCCT